CTTTCATTCAATTAACTAATGTGTAAATCAATTGATTTGTGTTTTGATAATTACGATGAGTGAAACATTTTCTATTGGTTAACAATTCAATTAATAGTAATTCAATTGTCGGTACAATTCTTATATGACTTTCACTTTACAAATAAGTGTGCATTTTGTCAGTTAAGTGCTATAAACGTTATACCCCTATGTTATCCACTATTACTTGTATTAGACATTTCCCTTTGTTTGCCATTAAATACTAATAAAGACTTATTGAGAAATGAGAAACTATTATATTGTTAGCAATTAAATCAAATCCATATGTTTAGGGCATATCTTATTAATTAATTCTATAGAAACGGGTCATTCAGGAGTTTAATCTAAATCCAAGCCATTTATTATTTTTTGGATTTAAATGTTAGCTGTATTTCTATATGACATCTCCTTTGAATGTACAATATTATCGATTTCCAACTTAACACACGATTTGCTTGTATTCTATTTTTTAAGTTCATTGCTTTTTTGGTCATATTTTTAGCTATTTTTTTGTTCAAAATCTTTTTGTCATTAATTTATATTTCATAACAAATATTTTCGTTTTAAAGAATTGATTACTTTTTGGTTTAATTAAATGAAATGGATTTGTGAGTCATTCATGAGATCTTGACATTTGATTCTTTAATTGAATTCACGTCTTGTTTATTGAATTTTCTTCTTATAAACATTTAATGAAATGTCATTCAGTTTTGAATGTATGGTATGTTTTGCGCCATTATATCACACAATGTCCTAATATAGGGACCGGAACTCTGATTCAGTAATTATCTATACATACCTATTGAATAATATACAGTGGAATACACTGTACAATAGATTTCCACATCAATCTTATACTAACCATTTGTATGCAAACTAATGATTAATTCATTTTCAATTACTGTTATTTTTTGCCGATATATTTAGCATTAATGAGGGCCTAAAATATGTTGATTTTGTTACTATTTAATCCAGTTTTCAATTATTATATAACTTTAAGTATTTGTATTTGAAATTATATGCATTATATTTAATTGAAAGATCAGTCCTTTGTTACAAATAATGAAATGTTTTTCAATTTTTTGATTTACTATTTAATCCAGTTTTCAATTATTATATAACTTTAAGTATTTGTATTTGAAATTATATGCATTATATTTAATTGAAAGATCAGTCCTTTGTTACAAATAATGAAATGTTTTTCAATTTTTTGATTATAATATTGAAGGCCTCAATAGGAATGGTATATAATTTCATATTAGTTTAGCATAAGTTATCTATAAATATAAAATCGTTGGCTTATATTATTAGGAGTAGAAATGATGATGAAATTTCTGGTTTCTATTACAACATTATTATAGCCCTAACGATAGAACATATCTTACGTATGATCTTATCATTGGATACAATGGATAAGGATTTTGTTGGAGATTATCTTTAAATTATAGAAACCCATACGAAAAGTCATTGTCTTATGTTTTACAGTTGAATGCAATTTCAATTTCATGCTTTCAATTGCACTTTAAGTTAAATCTCACGGAATAAATATTTGTAATTATTATCATTACAATTACTTAATCTAAGTCTTTAAAAGACATTTTTGTTTAATTAACAAATAATATGTTTTTAATTGCTATTAGTTTTTGTATGAAAATGTTGTTACAATTTTGAATCAATCCATTGAAGCGAAGGTTTATTACATAAATATATTTTAAAACTAAAAATTCTTTTATTTTATTTTATTTTTGTACTTAAAATCAATGAGTCATAAAAGAGAGGCAATAATTGCACACTTTTTAGCCACACGTTTTAAAATTATGCATTCAATGATTGAATTTCAATCCTATGTTATAACTTATAAGTTATAAGCATAGCTTACAGTTTACTTATAGTTATTTCCAACACAATTAATATATCAGATTTGCCTAATATATCAAACCGAGTTTGTTTTCAACGTTGTCTTAAAATGCATTTTGAATTGACACGAGTTTTTCCATTTCTATCCCCCGATGAGAGGCAATGCTTTTCGATTGTATTGTTTGAACGATTATTTAATTAGTTTTGTTTTTATCTTTAGATGTCTCTCTTGGGCTTCATTTTACAGAACTATTGAAACGCGAGACCATTCAAAGACCTATCCCTTCAAGACATCAAAACAAAAAGTACTGTTTGTTAATAAGTTGTTTAATTGAAATGATGTTTAACTCATGTTTTTATTTCTATGTAAAGAAGACGAAGTCCTCCGTCGCCGACACTTTCAAACAAATTTCTTTACGATTCATCCAAACCTAAAAGTCCGAAACGCTCTCAATCTGTGATTTCCTCCTCAAGTGAGCGCTCTTTTATTTTCTTGAATTATTTGTTAATTTGATTTTGCGATTGAAATATTGATTATAAATTGTAATCTCAATCCAGAACTACGAAAGAAATACGACGGAACCGCTAAACGACGGTATGTGCGGCGCTCGGGCTCTTCGAGTGATGGCGTTTGGCGTAAGAGGGGTCGACCTCGAGAGCGGGCCTCGAGTGGCAGTTCGAGGACAGAGTCGCCCATTCCGTCTCCGGTGCCATCGGAGGGAAGCACTTGTGGTCACTCATTGAGTGCTCCATTGCTTCGGCGAAGGCGTAGTGAACAGCACGCCTTCGATATCAACAATATTGTGATTCCGTACAGCATTGCGGCCACGACTCGGGTCGAGAAACTTCAGTATAAGGAGATTATTACTCCCAAATGGAGGCTCACAGACCCCTCAGAGCACAATACCTTCTCTTTCTCAGACCTAAAAATCAAATCCGAATCAAATGAAGAAATAAAAGCCGTTCCGCAGAAAAGCACATCCATTGACGACGAAGACGAGGACATCTCTGACACGGCGTTCACTTTGAGACACATAAAATCAGAAGAGGAGGAAAGAAAACGCATTTTATCATTCATTAAAGGAAACACCAAAAGTGGTTCTTTGCGAAGGGGAGCGCGAGTGCGGTTCGACAGCAACCGATCCGACACAACCACAACACCCGGCGATACTGTGTTTCAGAACAATGACTCGACGAGTCAGGACTCCTATAACGGCGCTTCTATTCCTTCAACACCTGTTGTCAATAACTGTAATAATGAGCCAAATTTGGCCGATACTCCACCACCGGTTCCGACCGAACGGCGCAGAAATGCTTCTCTCTCTTCGAGAAGAGACGACTCTATCGACGAAAACTTTGAAACTGTCGCTCCTTTCGAGTTAAGAACTTTTCCATTGAATGAAATAGACTTTGAATTAATGTCGACAGAAGTGCAACCAATGTGTCCCACATTAGGTGACGACACATTAGATTCAATGAATGATCCCGAAAAGTCCAATGAGGGCACCATTACGGCCAACAACAGCCGCGCGCCCACACCTGTCGACTCGGACGGCGCCGAAAGTGTTGTCGAACACAATGAGGGCGACAACGATAACGAAGACCCAGAATGGGAGCCAAAAAAGTTAACTAAAGGCTAATTTATAGAACAGTGAGGACTTGTAATAATGTTTTGAGAAATCGTATGCTTTTATATTGAAATATATCGAGTAATGAATGAAATTGTTCGCTATTTCCCCGAATCCCTATCTAAACAAATCCAAATGTATGTAACAATTTGTAAATATTTTTCATTTGTTTTGCTTTTTATTTTTTAGTACAATTAAGTCGAGAAATTCAAGACTAATCTTTGAAATCAGATTTATTTATTAAACACAAAAGGGTTTAAATCGAAAACAAATTTTGATCACTAATTTTGTTTAAATTATGTGCTAATCCCTCGAAAACAGATCATTAAATTAATCTAAACTTAAATATCTTACCGTATATTACTGTAAATGATAAACAAATTACTGTACTTTTAATTTTTGAAACGCCTCTTGAAATTCTCAGACTTAATAACTCTTTATAAAAATGTCTACAAAAAATCAATTCAATTAGAAAGTCATTATTGGTTTGTTTACTAAACATTTTTTTGTTAGTTTTATCAGTCATTCCAAAAGTGAAAAGTTTTTTTCATAACTTGTTATTAAAACAAAAGACAAATTCAATTCAATTACCGATTCATTTTAAAGTCAGAGTCTATTTGCTTACACTATAGATACAAATGTGTAATTATTTTCACTATAACTATAGCGTTGTATACCATTATATACACTGCTATTAAACTTTTTAGTTGTTTTTGACTTTTGTTGTACTCTTTTTCTCCTCTATTTTCTAAACAATTTCCAAACAAAAAAAAAGAATTATAAATAAATTGAATAAAAGTGTGAAATAATATGATTTTAATTAGATTTGACAAAAACAAAGAAAAAAATTGGTAAACAATATAATAGTTTCTTTGCTTTTAATTGTGTTATTTTTAACAGATTTTTGCACAAAATGCAAGAATTGATTTAAATACATGTCTCTATGAGAGCTATAATAATAAAGTAATAATAAAAAAATTGATGAAATTTACAAAAAGACAAATGGGATGCAGTAATACATTATTTGTGCTAAAACTATTTCTTTAACTCTCGGCCAGCCTTTCGACTATATGTTGATATTCTTCTTCTAATTCTTTGTACTGTTTGTCCAACAAATCGAGTCTCACTTCGAGTGCAGGAATAGTTGTCTGTTTAATGAACGCCAGTTCCTGTTCGGGAAATTTCTTGAGTTTTTCCAGTTTCTTATAGTCGAGTATTTGCTTCTGATTGGGAGCGTTGAGCCTCTGCTTCACTACTAGACGATAGCACTTGTATTGGTCGGCATCGGAACGATCGGTACAACGAAACCGAAGTATTTCATACACTCGACGCGCCTGTCGTTTGTTGATCTTGAGGTGAGTCAACGCTTCGGTGGCCATCGCTTCACTCCATCCGAGTTTCAGTTTCTCCACACTAAATGAGTCCAACGTTTTGCAGTTCTTTGAATCCACAAAATCGCGAACTCGAGTGAAGTTATCCGACGGATCTTCGACTGTAATGTCGTACACATTGCTATCCTTTATGTAAAAGCCATAAATAGTGTCCAAAAGTTTGGTCCCGAGTCCGCACTTTTGAAACGGCGGTAAAATCAAAAACTGAGAAATTCGGGGACGTATTCGTTGCGGATAAGCGTAATAGCGGTAAACAGTGGCGTAACCGGCGAAACAGTAGATGGAGTTGTCGTCGGCCGCCGAGTGGCCATTGGTTAGGGACGACGAGTTGGCCGATGTCTTCTCGTAGAGAATGAAGTACTGCCAGCGCTCGTCGTCCACATCGATATAGGAGGCGGCGTCGATGAGCCACCACAAGAAGGTCTGCATTCGCTGGTGATAGGCGTCAAAGCCGGGCACCAATATGTCGGCGCTGTATATCTCGAAATGCCTTTTCGTCACCTTCTCGTCGGTCTTGTGGTCAATCGAAAAGCTGTCCATCAGTTGTCCGTATGGTTTGAATTGAGACTCTTTTGAGAGCAAAGAGCGGAACTCATCCATCGATTGGCAAAAATTGATCTCTAATTTCTTGGCGATAGTGTTGAGGACGTCGTCCGCTTCGATGCCATTTGTCTCGTCTTTTGTCACTTTTTCGGCGAAATTAATGCCCAAAAAACAGTTGAGTTTTGCCGAAGAGTAATACAGTTTGACTTTAAGGTCTCGATAACCAAATATGGACTCATTGTCGCCAAACAACTGGTGACTAAATTCCGGATTAAACTCTTTGGGAGAACTCTTGGGTAACTTTTGGGACTCTTCGGCCAATTGGTCCTCATTTGAGACCAATTGAATGGCAATCGATTCGTTAGCGAGCGATACAAACTCCTCGAAACGAGACCTCATTAGTGATGAACCTACGGATCAGTTGGACTCGTCAGTCAACCACAACACACATGACAATCACTTACCGGCCATTGATGTGTATGGGATGTGTTGGATGTGTTGACAAGTGATGACAATGTAGTCAAAGATGTGTCACAATAAGAGCCACTGTTTTGAGCGCCAAATCAAACCACACTTCGTGTCGACCATTACTTTAAGCAACGCTTACAACAAATCACGTCTCATATCATTCATGTGTTCAACACTTATATTGCAATTAATTATCAAATATTTGATCAAAACATAGAGTAAATCACATTTGAATACCATTTTAATGCTAAGGCTTTTGGCCTATAAATTATGAGTCAATTAATTAAGCGTTTGTTTAATAATTATAATAGAGTTGTAATTGTTTAGTGTGTTTGAGGGGCACAATAGGGGGCACAATATGGGCACAGTATGTGTGAACATATGCTGTGTTTGTATACGATATCTGTGGATGTGTTGTGCGATAACCTCGACTTGTCCTTCGTGTGAATGCAGACCGATATCGGACTTCAGGTATGAATCGGTTACCACTCGTTATGTGGACTTCGATGCCCTCAACCCATACAACCATCCCATACGACCCCTCAGACACTCCCTTTCAATCTCGTTGTAAACCGTGTTTTGCATTCATTCAAAACAATTGCTTTCATGAATGCAAAAGTTATTGCAATAAACAATTGATTGTCACAAACAGTACAGAATCTGCCAAAGAATCCCCGTTTAGTTTCATTCACTGATTACTTGTTTTATTATTTCATTTGTTATCTATTTTGAAAAATTTTGTTTTGATTTTGTTTTTTCCATTGAATTCTAGCTTTAATTTAATCTAATTGTTGTCTTCATTGAACGGTTATGTCATGTGAACGCATGTCTTCCAAGTCCTCAATGTCTGCATTATTGTTAAGACAATCTCACTGTCAGTTTGAGGTAATGTCTTGAGAACCACACAAGAGATCGGTTTTGGTTTGGGTTTAATATTAAACTCAAAACAAATGTTGAATTTGTTATTGAAATATATTTGTTATGCAAACCGAGAATAAAATTATTTGTAATGAATATTGACATCACACAACGGCAGAGGGGCCGGATAATCGGATAAGCGTTCAAACACACTGTTACATTTTATGTGTGTGTTTCCCTATTTGGGGGAAATGACATAACAAAACATAGACAGGGACTTGAATGACTAAATCGTAACAATGTTTTTGGGCAGTGCATCCGGCTCCTCAGCCGATGATTGATTGACATCAATTGATGTGAAATGTGTTGTAATAATGAATTGGATGTGCTTTCAGTCGCACTCGAGTGTCACGCGAGCCAATGGGGACCGACTTCGGGACATATTCAACAAATACGCGTCCACTGAAAAGGATGGCGACCTGTTTATGACACCCGAAGACTTCTTACAATCATATTTAGGTCTTTATAATGACGAGAATTATAATCCAAAGACTGTCAAAATGTTGGGCAGTATTCTCGACACATCCAAAGATGGGTATGTCTTGAAGAATACGTGATTCAAAGCGATGAATATCTGATATTAACTATTATCTCGATGTTTAGTCTCATATCGTTTATGGAGTTCCAGGCGTTTGAGGCGGTGTTATGTCAACCCGACGCTATCTATAGGACGGCGTTTCAATTGTTCGATACCAACGGTTCCGGTTCTATAACTCACGATGAGTTTGAAGAGATCATCAAACAGACGACTTTACACCAGAAGATTCAGTTTAATTTCAAGTCTGATTTCATGGGATTACACTTCGGCGGCGACCGGAAACGGACCGTCACTTACTCGGAGTTCTCGCAAGTGTTGCACGACTTCCATGAAGAACACGCCGTCCAGGCGTTCAAACAGTTCGACCGAACCAAGAAGGGTGTCATCTCTGCCATGGATTTCTCATATATTATGCTAAACTGTAAAATACATTTACTGTCGGAATACGTGAAACCAAATCTGGTAGCGGTGGCGGGCGGCGGCACAGGTGGCCATAATGTTACGTTCCCCTATTTTATGGCATTTAATTCATTGCTCAATAACATGGAACTCGTCAAACGGATATACCTCTCGTTCACTAAAGGCAACCATCAGTTGGAAATGACGAAAGAGGAGTTCCTATACGCCGCCCAACAGATGTCTCAATTAACACCACTCGAGATCGATATCCTCTTCCATTTGGCCGGTTTTCTGCATCAGAGGACCGGAAGAGTCAGTTTTATAGACTTGGAGCGCATCGCTCCGTATCGGCCCACGAGATATCTCTCTAAACCTTTTGCTGAAGTGAAAGCTGTGGAAAGCGCTGAGGATAGAGGCTTTGGTACTCAACTTCTGGAGAGTCTCTACAGATTTACTTTGGGTTCAGTTGCCGGTGCGACCGGCGCTACAGTCGTCTATCCAATAGATTTAGTAATTCTATCCATTTATACTGTTTTTTTAATATTGCAATTAATTGTAAGCTATTTGCCAAAAATTAGGTGAAAACACGAATGCAAAACCAAAGGGCCGGCTCTTATATCGGAGAACTGATGTACAAGAATAGTATCGATTGCGCCAAAAAAGTCATTCGACACGAAGGAGTGTTTGGTCTATACAGGGGTTTATTGCCTCAATTGGTGGGCGTTTGTCCCGAAAAGGCTATCAAACTAACAATGAATGACTTGATAAGAGACAAACTGACGACAGAGAAGGGAGAAATCACTGGCCTTTCAGAACTCATTGCCGGCGGATGTGTTAGTCTTTTGTTTATTTCGGGTTTCGAGTATAACTGTATTAAATTGTATATTTGTTGCCCAATAGGCCGGAGCGTCACAAGTCATGTTCACAAATCCATTAGAAATCGGTATTTATTCTCATTATTAATAGCTTTAACCCAATAAGCAGTTAATGAGTTAACACTCATTGCAGAATAATTTAAATGAAATGTTATTAAAATATGCATAAATTGAATACTAGTGAAGATTCGCCTTCAAGTGGCCGGTGAAATAACCAGTGGTCCGAAGATCAGTGCAATGGGTGTTATTAGAGAGCTAGGAATTAGAGGACTATATAAAGTAATACATTTTCTATTGACAAATATATGACAACTAATTAATAGCTAATATTTGTTGTGCACTGAAAATAGGGCTCAAAGGCGTGTTTCCTTCGGGACGTACCGTTCTCTGCGATATACTTCCCGGTCTACGCCCACTGCAAACTCAACTTCGCTGATGTCAACGGACACAACAGTGCACTCTCTCTATTAGGCTCCGCTATGATCGCTGGTAATGTCATAAACATTCAATTTTATTAACTTATTATTAATTAATTGGATATAATGTGTAAAAAACAGGAGTTCCCGCCGCCTATTTGGTCACTCCGGCAGATGTTATCAAAACTCGTATTCAAGTGGCAGCGCGTGCCGGACAAACCACATACACAGGAGTGTTAGGTATGATTAGGACTAATATTTGTTTGAGAATTGCATTTATTAAAACACATTTAATGTGTACTTTAGATGCTGTGCGCAAAATATGGAGAGAAGAGGGGTTCGTTGCCTTCTGGAAGGGCGGACCCGCGCGTGTCTTCAGAAGCGCTCCTCAGTTTGGGTTTACTTTAATGACATACGAAGTGTTGCAGCGATTATTGTACGTTGATTTCGGTGGTCGCCGACCGACCGGTTCCGAAGCCAAAATACCGGTCCAAACGGCAGAAATTAAATCTACAAATCCTGATCACATCGGAGGCTATCGTTTAGGTTTGGCCACATTTACAGGAATGGAATCCAAGTTCGGACTCTTTTTACCGAAATTTAAATCAAACGTCTCATGAGTTATGGCTTAGAAATAGTATACAATTATTAATTAAAATTTAGGGTAAAATGTTTTAAATGGAAATTTAATCTTACAGTTAAGTCTATAAAAATGAGTTAATTATTATTAACTTATATTTTGTGGACATATTTTTGATGATATTTATGCAAAACCGTTAGAAATCAGGTATTTTTCAATTATATATTTAATAAATTATAATTAAGTTTTAAAAATTTATTCTGAAATCAAAAACTTGTTTTATCGGTATATAAAGTTATATAAAAATTTTATTCATTTGTTTTACTTTCGGTCAGTCTTTACTTGTTTTGACCATAAAATCAAGTGTTTAATGAGATATTATATTATTTATAGACTTCTAAATTAGCACTATATTTAACTTGTTATTATAGTAGTTATTAATTGGTTTTCAAATTATTTAAATCTGTAAATGTATTGAAATTGATTTTGAATTATTTAGCAATAAATTGGAGATTAAATGCAACAACTTTTTAAAATTTAAACTTTTTGAATCTATTCATTATTTATATTTACTATCATATTATGATCTAATTTTTAAATATGATGAACAATATTGTAATTGAAATTAATATAATTTGAATTATTTAAAAATTACTTCAATTATACGGACGCGTAATGTATATATAACTCCTTGTTTCAGAATCAAATAATTGTATTCTTCCGCTTTTAAGCCCATGGGCTGTTATGTGAGGGGTCTTTGACTAGGGTAGACTTTAAAATAGCATGGGCTGTTACCCGGGTAGTAGCCCACCCCCTCTAAGAAATTGACATATTAGCCCATGGGTTGATATCTCATATTAATGCAGTGAATACATTGATTTACCTAATTCTATGTATTTTGTGATTAATAATACATTTCAATTAAAACAATTTCTATTTAAAACATATTTAGTCATCTGTATTATTAGATGAATACTTAAAAACTAAACTACTATTTTTGAGTCAAAATAGCATGGGCTGTTACCCGGGTAGTAGCCCACCCCCTCTAAGAAATTGACATAATAGCCCATGGGCTTAAAAGCGGAAGAATACGGTGCATCTATTCTTAACCGCAATTCAGAATGAAAACTATGATTTATGGGATCACATGTCAACCCCTCTGTTAAAATATGTAGAATCGATGCAAATCAAATAAATCTAAGAATATAATTTGTAAGATAACATTTATTGATATAAAGATAAAATTGCCATAAAAACAACAATTAACATTGAGACAAATTTAATTAATATAAATAATGACATTAAATTAACCAGTATACTGTAGGAGCATTGATTCACGGATTTACAATTTAATATAGAATTAAATCATAGAAATGTTGGTCATAGAGCCATGTCCATGTTCATATGTCAAAATGTAATAATAAACTTGCTCATCACTTCAATTCTTGTGATGAGAAGGGGAATGGGTGTGAGAGACTAACACCATGTTCTAGAATTGGGATATAAACTGAATTGAATGTTAACATACAAAGCATTTGATAAAATACTCAAATTTAATGTTTGTTAAAAATGATTATAAAATATATTAATTAATGGTTCAATGAATTTGTTTCTCCAAACAGCAATGATATTGATTTTGAGGCTATAATTATGCGGCGAATAAATGTATTGAAAATGTTAAACAATTATTTTAATTTCATTATAATATGATCAATGCTTACAGACAAACAGTGAACTCATTAACACTTTTTATGGCATTTGTATTATAATTGTTGTTGAATTGCCTTCAATTGCAATGACATTCTCTAAACCTTGTAATTGTCTTAATAATGTGCGGGTATTTCTGTGTCCGTCAAAGTTGTTCTCTTGAGATAATGATCGCTGGAATAGCCATAAGATATACTGTTTCTGAAGGTATACACCGATTGCCATACATTTACCCAAAATCCCCAATAATTTATTAAATTTAAATAAATGTCAATTCTGTGCACATCTTCACTGTATAGAGCAGTGAATGAAAAATATGATATTTTAAGTCAAATATCATTATATTTTATAATAATTATACGATTAGTTTAATGGAAACGTTAAGCCTTGAGTAGATAGTTGTCATTGGAATTTGTTGTGCAATGAGCTTAACATTACCAGCATTGCTAGCATTACCATCATTGCTAGCATTACCATCATTGCTAACATTACCTTGATCATACAATTACAACCAACTTCTTATTCAATTTGAGACTCATCTTAAATAATGAAAATTAATTTATACATATTTTGAAGAGAAGTTTTCATAAATTTTACTAAATTTTGAATGTCTCATAAATCTGTTGATTCACTTATTTATCCATAGATTGACTATTAATTAACAATTTAGCGATAAAGTTAATATAATGTGTATAACATTATGATCTTTCAATGGCGACACAAAAATATTATATATTTTTGTTACGGAATTTACTGTAAATGTGTGTAAACTTATTGATAAATTAGTTCAATTAATAGATGGCTTAAAATAGTGACTTCTGTTGTAGACCTTAAACTAAATTCATTGGTTTGAAGTGTTTGTGGAGAACACACTCTTGTATAATAACTGTTAGCGAATGTATTAAACAAACTCGTGAACAAACATCCATTTATATAACCCTGAGCTCAGTGTTGGGCGCCTATCATATGCTAAACATTATCTTATACTTAATTATAATTATAATAAATTTTATTTTTATTTATAAATATATTTTAAATCAAATTCAGTTCAAAATACTAATTAATATATTGCGACTAAAAAGGAACATAAGATCTGTTGACAAAAAAATTTATATAATTAATAGCATATAATTTATTAATAACAAAATATTATAAAAATATTGTTCACTTTTACATAAAATAATTTCGCCTCAAATTGTTTATTCAATAACAATTATTATGACTTCACTCTCTGTTGTTTGCAATGAACTATAAATAGCTTTATTTAATAACAATTTGAATGCAATTCTTTAAACAAAACACAATTTTCTATAATTTAAAATTATTGTCAAAGAATTGTTTATTTAATTAACTAATTGCTGGCTTTGAGAATAAATTAAGCGAAATTAAATGAGTCAGTGATGAAGAAAAGATAGAGAAGGGGTGAGAGGGAGAGAGAGAGAGGGAAAGAGAGATCAATGAAATACCCTTTACTTCCTAGAATACCCTCCATTCTTAAGGATAAGTAACACGTGTTCAACAAATTGGGTCACAACCGCTTGAATATACTTTAGCCGGCATTTCATCAATTTATTTCACTGATAAAATAATTGACATTTATTCCTATAAATTATTATTAGTTTGTGTTACTATTTTATAAAAATATAATGCTTTGATGAGAGAGAGAGAGAGAGAGAGAGAGAGTGCTGCCAAACTATTCGCTAACACTATATGCGCTCAATGCGATTCTCGATTCACTAGCTATGTTAAGTGTGACAAGTGTGAGATAGAGAGGACTTACTTTGGAGAACAACAACATCGCGTTGTGTTGAGTGTTATGTGTAGAGAGAGAGAGAGAGAGAGAGAGAGAGAGAGAATCCAATTACTTTTATATTTTATGGTTTTATAGATATATTACACAAATGTTTTATTTCTCGAAATCTATTTATGAGAATAAAAGTGAAAATATAGTCGTCTTATTAAGCAATAGTTGGCATTTATATCATATCTAATATAATATAACAATAAAATTATGTTTAAAAATCATTAAATAGCAAAGAATTGAAAAATAGGTCAATACTCGAGGACAGAAATTAATATATTATAAGAATAGATATGATAAAAAAGGGTTGCAATCACTTTAACAACATGAGCGCCTAAACTGGCCTTTAATCACCAATAATTGGTTAATACTGGTTTCAAATCAATCTTAAATCAATTCCTTGTCTTTCAAACAATCATTTCAATGCTAGAACTGGTCTAAAGTTTGCAATCAATAAATAAATAATATGAAAATCATTAAAACATATAAAAGAAAGTAATAGTAATTGATATGCTATTTAAATAATAGATATGAGAGCACTATTAGAGCACAATATATTATATGAGTTAATCTGTTTGCAGAATCCTTCCACTCATATCTTCATGAGTTAATGTTTATTCTGTGTTTAATGTCAACTCCATAGGTATCGCTATCTTTATGTGTCAATGCCATCCCTATATAGTTGTACAATACATCCGTATAGTTAGTGTTATGTCTGTGTCTTATGTTAATTCTATGGATAATACATTGAATAATGGGTTAAATATTATATTATTGGAAAGAATTCAAATTAAAACTATTTTTTATATAATTAAATAATTTTAAACTAAATTAATCACTATTCCAACTAGATCACATATTTTTCAATAAATCTTGTTGAATAATCAATTGCTAAAATTAGAATATTATTTTATAACATGTTTGAATTGTGCGCACCTTGTTTAAATTAATATAAGATTTAATTTAAAATAACATATTTGGTAGTAAAAATATTAATTAAATTATTTGCAAAATTTAAACAAACGCTAACATAAAATGCAAATAACAATCCATACAATTATAATAGTGAATACAATTCTAATATTGAATATGAATACTGAACTACTTTTTGTTATAAAATAATTAATTCGTTTGTTTTGTTAAATTGTTTAATATTGAAAATGAATGTACGAATCGTCGAATATGTTAATCAATTAATTGAGTTTCATTTCATCAGTTTCTAAACTGAGAGAAACCCTGCCTTCCGTTATGACTGGAATGTTATCACTTGTGTTATGGTTTGAGTAAAACGATTAGAGGGCCGGCAGTCGAGCACTATTACTATGTCAAGGCTTGAAGGATCGACTTCTCTGTCATTTAAATTCATGGCTTTTAAATCATATATAAAAATAAAAACTAAATGAAACTCTCAGCACATTTTCAATGCATTCGTTTGTGTTTTACTGAAAAGTTCCTCATTTTAAAATAAAAATTTTACATTTAAAATAATAATAAGCCATTGAATTAAAAGTCATTTTTTAAATTTTAAGTTTTATACTTATTAAACAAAAATCCGAGTGAATATTCATGAATTTACACAATGTGTTTGTCTGTTAACGGAATTCAAAGTGTAAAATAGAGAAAAGTGTAATTTGATAGTTATGTATAGAAGTATATAATAAATTGACAAGTTATATAACTGTAAGTGTGGTTAGAGTTGGCAAACATATCGATTGATATTCTTCTACACACGACCCTGAGCATATAGTGAAATATTATCACGTGCTATTGCATCGCACGTGTATTATCTCTACAATTATTATTATTATTATCATTACTTGGCTTTCATTGCAGTTATTACATAACATTTATAGTAGTGGTTGTGCTCTCTATTTCTTTCTGTGCTAAATATATAACATTATATAAGTTATCAGAATATCAACGCATGTATTCTATGCCCACACCTAATACTGTAAACGCATCCCTTGTTTTATAGTAAAACATCTATAATGTTGTGCAACTGTTTTCATGAATTGAACTCAAATAATAAATGATAGTTATATTTATGATAATTCCTCGAAAGTGTATGAATTGTGAAAAAGAGACGGAGAAAGAGAATAATATCGAGAAAAACAATTTAATCAAACGATAGATTGGCGTCAAATCAGATGATCTAAAGAATTGGTTTTGAGTTTATAGTATCGGTGGAAAAAAGTGTCGTTAAACTGATCTCCGAAGGCTTTTGGCGAAAAAACGTTAGATAATTGAGAGAAAGTTATAGAGAAAGTGCTTATTCGCAGAGATAGTGGCGGATCGAGAGATCTTATATATGCAACGGCGGTGTGGATGGAGTGTTCGTGAAGTTGTAAGTACTGGTAGTGTGTAGTTGTGCTGCAAAAGGGCTCCAATTCCTTCCGTGTTGAGTGAAGGACCTTTGGTGAATTGACCTTGTCACACTTGTCACACTTAACATAGCTAGTGAATCGAGAATCGCATTGAGCGCATACAGTGTTAGCGAATAGTTTGGCAGCGCTGTATGGCTCACCCCTGACCCCATTACAGCACAGCATCGCCACTGCACTGTAACAGTGATCTTGAGACTCAGTGTTACTGTAGGACTGAGCCGTTGCCGTAACTGCAAGGCTGAAGCAAAAGCTGATATTACCGCAGAAATTAGGTCACAGAGACTGCAGTGAAAGTGCCAGAGGAAGCACTCACTCACACACAACACACTCTCCACACATAACACTCAACACAACGCGATGTTGTTGTTCTCCAAAGTAAGTCCTCTCTCTCTCTCTCTCTCTCTCACTATATATGTGTCTATCAATTACACCACTATTTTTGTATTACACTAACTCTCTCTCTCTCTCTCCCTCTCCCTCCCTATCTCCGCACTCTCCTATCGTATAACTATTTACTACTTATTTATCTTCATTTTATTTATTTACCACTTTTTTATAACGCATTCATTTCTAACTTGTTGTTAATTATACTAAAAATGGGTCTATTTTTTGCTAAATTCTGGTAAATTCTGAATGTATTTTATATAACGGACTAATTCTTATACCAAAACAGTTATACAAAGTTAACAAAACATCTCAACAGATAGTAAACTATATATATGTTTGTTATTCACTTAAACGACTAAATGATTGTGCGTTTTGTTAAATCGATTCAAAATTTTATAGTAAAAACAGTTTATGTTTTTTAATGTCAAAGTTGTCGACGACTTTGTGATGATTTTTTTGTTCCGTTTGTCTTTAAATTTAAATATTCTTCAAATATAATATATTTTTCGCAATTATTGTTCAAACGATTGAATGAATGATATATATTCTCAAGTCGTTTGAGTGCATAACTAATAAATAGTAATAAAAGTGTAGATCTATTGATATATAATAGTTAATCGCGAGTCCATAGACTAGAACTATGCATATTCTGTATGTGTATTGAATATAGTGTGGTATTTGTGGTAATAGTGATTGTGTTGAATGTGTTTTCATATATAGTTTGATGTGGTGTTCACCTAATCTACACGTGCTTTACTCGTCACATGCGTTTGCGCTCATTTCCACTACAATTGATTCTCATATATTGTTTTAAACCAATATTAAGGCCAATACAATGGATAACTTAGATGACCCTGAGTATCGTTCACTACGGCACCCGCGTTGGACCCCTTCACCTGTTGATCTCAGTATCGCTAATAGCGTTCCGCCGTCCAGTGCTCTCATCGCCTCACTTGGTATGGATTGCACTATACTTTCAGTCAAATATTACACACATTTTTTAAACTTTATAAAAAACGGTGGCATATCTCAGGCGCCGCGTATTTCTGTTCGGGATCGCCAACCACTGCCAACTCTGGCTATCCTATCAACGGAGTCATGATCTCCGGACAGTCCTCTAACGCTCATGTCATGAGTTCCAGAAAACAGCGCGAATTCATACCCGAGGGTAAGAAAGATGAGTCGTATTGGGACAGAAGGAAACGCAATAATGAAGCGGCAAAGAGGTAGGCATTGATACACTTTTTCAACACACTTTGAACACACTTTTCTAACTTTTATGTAAATGATGTCAATTATAGAAGTTATGAAATGATTGCATCGTTTACTCCCTTTCTCTTGTTTAACATTCGCTATACATTGACAATACATTCGTTATATCTTTTTTAAACACCTTTCCTATCAATCAGTTAAACACTTTATAAAAATATAAACATTAAATTTAATCATTTAATCTGCAATCAAATAATATATAAAGAAATATAGTTTATATAGAAATGACTGACAACTCGTGTTTAGTATATTATTTCCTGAGTAAAAGTTAGACATCGTATCACAAAAAGTTTAGTAGAATTTTAAAATAACATTGTTTTCAATTATTAAACTACAAAACATACAAAAGTTATTTTAAGTGTTTGTTTTCTATTTTAGGTTTAACAAAAAATCACTATTTTCCGCAAAAATTACGAATACATAAAATTGTAGATAGCTTGTTTTTAGAACTTTTATTATATTTAGTAACAGTAATTTATAATTTGATTGTAATTATACCTAATTGTTGAGGATTACAATATAATAGTGACTTTTTGTATGTTTTAATAGTTTAAAGTTTTACATTTAGGTTTTCAGTTTATTTGCAATTTTTCAAATTCACTATTAATAGTAGAGCTGATAATTAAAAGTTTTATGCATTATATTCGAGAAGTGATGAAACAGTATTTTATGAGGGGTTCCGGGATTTTTCAAATCAAATACAGTAATGATTATAAGTAATGATTATTTCTTACAAATTAGTTTTGTTATCTTTTTTCATTAATTTTCAATGAAATTAAAATTCATTTCTCAGTAAAGGTTTAGGATTTTATCAATGATTTTCATTGATATTATGATAAATTCAATGATAACAAAAAGGATTTAAATTCAGTATACATTAGAGTACAACAAAACGGTTTAATTTTCATTGAATGCTTTTTATTGATTAATTCAAAGCATATTTAATGGAGAATTCTCTGCAAAAGTCGTCTCTCCTTTAATTAGTTCATTGCCAATGATTTTTATCAGAATTTTGTGGCCTTTTTATCATTGAATTCAATGAAATACAGTAAATATTCAGATCAAACACTTAATACAAGTTAATTTAAATATTTTCTAGTTTTTTACATTCAATATTTATTGATTAAAATTTGTGAATACAATGATGTCTTAAATATGAATTAACTTTTATCTGAAGATCACGAGAAAAGCGGCGCATATCTGATATGGTACTGGAGGCCCGGGTTATGGAACTGACCCGAGAAAACTCGGTCCTCAGAACAGAACTCTTTGCCATTAAAGAGAAGTTCTGTTTACCACAGACTCAGGTAAACCACTTTATGCCACACATTGTATAAACGGAATTCTTCTTTTCAAATGAGATTTTATTTCTAAGAAGGGAAGGGAAGGGAAGGATTCCAATATCCCGCAACATATAGTAATTTTAATGATACTGGCCTATTCACAATGTTACTGGCCTATTAATAGTATTTAGGCAATAAAATTATGCGAATGGACATATACAATGGTTTAAATTAATTAAATAAATTTACATAATTTCATTAAAAATTTTAAGTTTAGCGCTTATATACAACATATTGTTTATTCATTGAATCTAAAAGATATTATAATGAATATGTTTGTAAATTAGTAAATTAGTAAGGTCAATATGAATATACTCAACATTTAAAACTAAAATAAATGTCAAATATTTGATTGTTAAGGTATTTATGGACACGGATTCGATGTCTTTGTCGGATAATGGGAACAGAGGCCACAGAACTCGACTTCTTTCCAATATAATTGCGCCAAACAATCAAAGCCGTAATGATTTGTCTGAATATTTGGATAAGCGTTTATTCACTAATCATAATCTACTTTACAAACCATTTAAAGCTGAGCTCAATTCGAGTGGCAATTCAACCACTAGTTATGTCTCGTCGTCTTCGTCGCCGACATCCCAGTCGTCGCAATCGTCGGACCGCATGGCGTCCCACAGACCCCACACACCCAACACTCCCAACACTGCCCCACAGAATCTATCACAACGTCTGGCAACACAAGCCATGTGTTGCCAACCAATTGCTAACCCCAACTGTCCAATCAATTCAGTAAACACAGCGACTCTTCCCTTCAAATTGAGACATAAGGCGAAGAATAATACCGCCGACAGTGACTCGGGTAGCGATACCTGTATTAATGTGTTGACCGATATTACGCCCAATCACTGTGTGATCAACACTACAGAAGGCCTTAATAACGATAACAACGGCAGTGCTCTCAACGACTCGATCCTGAAGTCTGAGAACTATGCCCTCAGAAGTGAACTCCAAAAACTGGCCACAGAAGTGGCTTCACTCAAGAATGTCTTCAATCCGAACCACAATTCGCTCAAATCAATGACATCTAACGACTCTCACGACTCCATTCATTCACATTTATATCGTAGAGACAGTCATTCGCCGGATTTGAAGGAAGAGCCGACCGAAAGATCCCATGTCTTGTCTACTGGTCGTCATTCTCATTGAGAAAAGTGATAATTCTTTGGATTCTTTAATTAATTTTGTTTAACTCTTTGAGAAAAGACAACATATATTACAAAAGCGATTATTTGTTTGATAAAGAGTTATATAAAGATTTATATAATATAATAATAATTAATTAATTCATTATTAGTTATGCTAATCGTTTAATTTTTAGTTTATTGTTATTGTTTTGTTTCAAATGTAACTTATATTTTCAAGTATAATTTAAAATCCATATGTTTTTGCAGATAATTGTATAATAATTGACAAGTTTTCGATTGCTTTTAGAGTTTAAGTATTAGAATAGCATAAGAGTTGTGTTATTATCAAGATTTGTCAACAATTGTGTTTCAGAATATTATTATTTACGAAAACTTGTCTAATAATGCCTTTTATTTTTACATTTAGTTTACTTTTTAATAAAATATTAAAGAATTCATTTGTATATTGAATATTACGTGAAATTACTCGCACAGCGATGCTATACATGCGATCCCGTGTTAAATCCCATAGGGTGGGGGAGGGGCCGAACGATCCCATAAACTACATTATTCATAGCTGAATTGTGATTTATAGGATTACAGTTAGCATTATTCTCATAGACTTAACACTATCCATAAGATTAGCATTGCAATAGACTCAGCAATACCCAGGTTAACCTTATGTCATAGCCGGGGGCCGAACCATCCTATAAATATTTATAGGATTACAGTTAGCATTATTCTCATAGACTTAACACTATCCATAAGATTAGCATTGCAATAGACTCAGCAATACCCAGGTTAACCTTATGTCATAGCCGGGGGCCGAACCATCCTATAAATCTCATCAATGATGCAGGGCATTGACAAATATGTCATAACTTATATTGGGTCAAATGATAAATAGGTGCCTTGACTATGAACCGTGTAGATAGAATTGTGAAATTAATTTTTTAATTTAAGTCAACATTCCTAGACATCAGAAACCGAGTTGCATAAAGTTGACATGATTAGCCTTTATACAGTAAATTTTTAAACAGTCGGACAAAATAATGTATTCCTATGGGAAGGTGTATGGTTTTGTGATTACCGACAGTTGAAATCGCGTGTAAATTGATCATGCTCAAACAGCAATAGAGATAATTGAAAATCCTTACTCTTTGAATATCGTCAATATCTAATGTATAACCACATCATATTTAATGGCCAACTCTGACCGATGCCTGACTTGTGGCCACTTAATTATCGGTAGTCGACCCGATTGGCGGCCTGTGTTCGTTATGTTCGCATTTGATTCCCGTTATAATTAATGTCGTGATAACTGCTTAAAACTGTTGTCGGATAACCAATAGTGAACACCAATACCCAAATCATAACATATTTTCAATCTAAAAATATGTTCATTTTTCATAAAATATTTTGGGCTAAGTTTTTTAAAATAATTCCGACTGAAACATTTTAAAAATTTCCAGTGTAATGATCAATTATCCGATCTTGATGAAACTTTGTTTCTGGTGCCTAGGAATGTTAACTTAAATTATAAAATTAATTTCACTATCCTAGCTACACTGGAAGTACCAAAGGACTAACATATATCAAGTGTACCAATACAATCCTATGATATAGCTTATACCTAAGGATGATGTGTACGGTATCCATATTATAACCATTTTCTTTGTTGAATTGTGTTTAAAAGTATATAAATATCTAAATTATTGCATTGTTTTCAATGAGAATGTGATATGAAATGAAAATTGAGGTCAAGGATAGCCCAACAGAGACTATATTTCCTCGTTATGTAAGCATTGCTAGCGTTTACTGCTATGAATGCTATTAATATTTGTGTTTTTAAATATTGGATTTTTATGCAAATATTAATTAATTTTCAAGACAATATTCATAAAAATATATTTTTTAAATCTGAGTTAAACTTAAAATTGTTTTTAGAAATAATAATGATTTTGAAAATTATGCAAACCTTCGAACAGAAAAAAAACTAAAAAAAACGCTTATTTTGTAGCTTTTATGAAACCACAATCAGCACTGAATAATGTGGTTAAGGATCGTTCGGACCCCACTTTATGGCATTTAACATGGGATTACAGCTTAAGTTTATGGCTATACTTTAACATGGGGCTAATGTGGGTAATTAACATGGGTAATGTTAATCTTATGAGACTAATGTTAAGTCTATGACATAGGTTTAGCATGGGTAATGTTAAGTCTATGGGTAATACTAATCCTATGGACAGTGTTAAGTTTATAGAACTAATGTTAATTCTATTGATAATAATGGTCGTATGGAACTAATGCATGTTAACTCTATGGAATTATGCTAATCCTACGGGAATAATGCTAAGTCTATGGCATTGTATTTAACTACATTGTATAGCAACTATTCTTAGCGGTTAATAGTTGTGACCAAATTTCTAATGAATTGCATACATTGATAAATAATGAATCACATGATAATGTCATTCACTAAAAATGTAATCCTTTGACTGTAAAAATGTTGACAAATGTAGTCATAATTCGGGTGTCTGTGGCTCTAGTCATGAACTGATGTGAATATCCATCGGTGGCCACACTCTACACATATGTGTGAAGTGACAATATTGTCACTTCAACTGTTCCCGAATGGTGATCAAATAAATATTCTCAAAAGATTTGGTTGATCTTTTTAAGGTGTCATAATTGATAAAAATTGAATAAAATTAAAAGTATAATAGTTATCAAACAAGGTTCATACAGCGATGCTATACGTTAACCACAATTCGGGTGATGCATAGGATTAGCACTGTTCATAGGATTAGCATTAGTCCCATAGACTTAACATTACACATAGGATTAGCGTTGCCACAGACTTAGCATTAGCCATGTTATCCCTATGCCATAGACTTAGCATTACCCATAGGATTAGCATTGCCATAGACTTAACATTATCCCCATGTTAAAGTATAGCCATAGACTTAAGCTGTAATCCCATGTTAAATCCCATAGAGCGGGGGCCGGCGGAGGAGGGAGCAGAACGATCCTTAACCACATTATTCATAGCGAATTGTGGTTAAAATTGTTAATATACACTCTGTGTAAATCATTTCTGATGAGTACATATTTGCATTGAAAAGCATTACAAGTAGGGATGAAAATTTCAGTGAAATTTTCATTTGAACATTTCATTAAGGCTAAATTTTGAAATTTTGGGCTAAATTTTCACAAAAATGTGAAATGTTCATATGTTTTTCAACTAGATACTTTTAATGTGATGAAATATATCATAAACAAACTAATTAAGACATGTTTCATTTTAAATAATAATAATAATTCTTTTGGTTCTTTGGATATTTCAAATTATTTAAAGATTCTTGCAAATTCTTAAATATTCTGCTATCAATTCTATGAATATTTTACTTAAAACATAAGTTCTAAATTTTGATTCTGCAAACTAATAATATACTAATGATAAATAAGGCATTGTGATTAGTATCTAAATTAATTATTTTTACATAATAAGAATTAATTTAGATTAAATTACAGAAATTAGTGATTTATGTAATAAATATGTAGAATATAGATGTCGCTAATATAGAGTGATTGAACATTTAGCCTAAATGTTCAGCGAGACCCCTAAACGTTCCCTAAATTTAGGGCTAAATTTAGCCCTAAACGTTCCCAAAATTTCACTACTAACATCTCTAATTACAAGAGTAGGTTATCTTAAACATGTGAATAACATGTTTAATAAACTCGGCTGTTTTCAATTAATTAAAAGTTGTACTTTATATTTGCGCACTCAGTATTTATGTTTTCCTAAATGTCTAGAATATTCTAACTTTGTTGAACAATTTATATTTTTGTGAATTTTTCACTGTAATCTTATGGAAAAAGTTAACATGGTAATAAAATTACAGCGGAAAGTATGGTTATAAAAAATTAAATATTATGATGAATTAACAAATTACATATAATGGTTAATCTGCTGAATTAGTATTATCTAATTACGATTACTGTTTCAAGAAATAGATAAGGTCACAAAATCAATAATATTTTGAATTTGATATTTTTACAATAAAATTATTCCTGGTAGACCGAGGGGTTATCAATTATTATATAAATTATACCAAATTAAACATGAATTATCTGCTTATAAATTCCACGAATTACTGTTAAGAAAAATATTCTATAACATGGATAAAATAAAAATAATGTAAAAGCTGTAAAATCATCAAAAAAATTGGCAAAAAATATTCATAATTGTAGCCACAATTTGAAAAACTAGATTTACGGGCCGTCATAATTCATGCATAATAAGCATATCCTATGGGAATAAAAATAACATTGGATTCAATGCAGCGATTGGCTCTTCGAGATCGCCATCACTGTCCAGTCGGTGACAATACAATGTAAAGGTATTTAATATAAAGTTTACATGCTATTTAATTATTTTAGATAGCAATTGGTGTTTTTATCTTGTTAACAAATGTTGGCCACCAATTTGCCGATTAGCAATCCTTTTGCCCATTGAAAACCATTAAGAAAAATATGACATTTCTATACAGATATATGTAAACTTTATATCAGAGTTTTATTATGAAAAAACACAAAGTAACCTGTGTGACTCCGTTGTTTTTTACCTACCCGTAACTTATAAACTTAACCGGGCTCAACTTATAAACATGAGTATTTTGTGCGTTATGGTTATTCTCATATCCCATAGAAAACAACACAGGCTAGTTTGTTATTTACTGCCTCATATTATTAATAATATGATTATGTTATATAAGATATAAGACGATTGGATGAATGCTGCAAACAAAACACACAGAGAGACGACTGGCATAGTGTATGGCATAGTGTATGGGGTGTACGGAGAATATGCCTGTATTGCTGTATTGCTCTCATGTCGTGTAACTGACTGTGAATTTCCTGCGATTCCAGGAATTGATGGAAAAGGCATTTGCAATGCATTCGTGCAGTCAATGCGTTGAGCCTTTGGTGGGAATGGCTTTCGAGTATAGCATCGCTTGAAAGGCAATTCTGAGAACTCGAGACTCGCTTTCATAGCGTCACTCAAAACACTACAAAACCACTACTCTTTGAATGCCTGTATTGTATTCAATGCTAAACCCATACTATCTCTCACACACTCAACACAACATCACATTTTAGGTAAGTTTTTCTCTCATCTCTTTAATTATACACCATTTTTATCATAATTAACAAAACAATACAT